AAAAAATTACCTTATCCAAAATCTCCACTCACCACTTAGCTCTATCTTCTTCCATCTCCCTCCTTACCCGAAAAAACCAAACAAAAACCACCATTAATTTCGGCCACATGTTTCAAGCAAGATAACCAAGAAGATCAGGCTGTCTTTACTTTTGAGAAAGACATAAGGATGATACGGGTGTACTTCATGTACATTGTGGGGCTAGTGGTCCTCCTAATGGCTGCATTAATTTACTTGCTAATCCTCAAGTAAAGCCCGAAAATTACTTCTGTGGAGTAGGGTAAAAATGCATGTGGTGTTAGCTGTACTTCAATATCAGTGGCGGATCCAGGAATTCTAACTAGAGGTAGCATAGAATAATAAGGGGAAAAAAAATTAAAAAAAAACTCTATATTATATACCAGTATTATCATTAGCCTTTACATTTTAAAAATTCATTTTTGTAGATGAATTTTCATTTAACGAATATGGAATAAATTATATTCCATTTATGACAATGATCAAATTAAAAAGTATTTCATAGGTTTAATAGTATATTTTTGTATGTATTCCTCCAAATTTACTATTCAAAAATAAATATAAAACTATAAAATTATTTTATTTATATAAATTATTGATTTACTCAAATTAAACTAAATAGTAAATATATTAATTACTTACCAATTAAATATGTGCATTGAAATGTGCAACAAAAATGGGAAGAAGTTTTATCAAAGAAGGAGTTTTTAAGGATAATATTTTATTATTATTATATTTGGTATTACGTACGGTGATTAAAATTATTAAAGTATAAGTATATATATTTCATAATTTAAAATTTTAAGATTCTACTAATTTGTGAGTTTTTGTAACTTAAATGAGACTTTTTACAACAATTATATTATGTACAAATATAGCTATAGTTAATTTGTTTCAAAAAAAATAAAAAATCTAAGAGATCTGTTTATATAAAACAGATCTCTATTCTTGTAACAAGGAAATAAATAAATAAAAAAAAAGATTGAACCTAAGAGACCTGTTTTATATAAACATATCTCTTAAGGAAATCATAAAAAGAAAAGTTTAGAACCTAGCTAAGAGACCTGTTTTGTATAACATGTCTCTCTTTTTTTTTTAATTTTTTTTTAACTTGGAAAGAAGCGGGATTCTTGGCTTTTGTTATAGAAAACTCTAAGAGACCAGTTATATAAGATAACAAGTCTCTTTGAACTTTTTCCCTTTTTTTTCCAGGGGTAGCATATGCTACCCTTTGTGCCTTAGTATATCCGCCACTGTTCAATATTTTGTAATTTATTAGCTTAGAAGTACACATTGTAACATGTATTTGGGAAATTATGAATAAATATCATTATTATTACTCGTTTCTTCGTTTTAAATAATAAAAAAAACGTCATTTAGTTATAAAAATATTTGGCAAAATAATAGTAATTATTTGTAAAAACAATAACTATAATAATAAAAGATAATAATAGTGATAATTACAAAAGTGGTATCAAAATTTGGTGTCTACAGTCACAAAGAAGATCGTTGTTGGGATAAACAAAAAGACGCGCAAGGTGGTAAACAAAGCAACTATGCTCAAAAGGTTGAAGAAGAAGAGAGCAAGCTTTTCTAAAGTCGAGTCAAAAGTGTAGTTACGAGTCGTGTTGAGATTAAAGTGTCAAGTTAAAGTCGTGTTTGCATGTTCGTGGTCATGGTTGTTTGTATCTTGGTAGTCCGTAGTTAAGTTCAGTAAGTTTGAATCAAGGGGGTGCGTTGGGATATTGATTCAAACGTTAGTTTGTTAGTCAATGTATGGCACACTTAGTGGCTAAGTATTAGGATTACTTGATTTTAATATTTATATTTTTATTAGAATTATTTATGTCCTCATTGGCCAATCAAAATTCATAAAAATTTCAATTTTCTATTGTCAAAACTAGTGTCAAAACCAAACAAATTAAGGAATTTCATGAAGGAAACATTTTTTTTTTTCATGAATTACAGCTTCAGTTCTCATGTGAACTAAACAAAACTAGCATGTTTAGGGGATAAAAGAGGGGAAGAATAGGGATAGGGATTTTGGGAAAGAAATATAATAATTCATATGCTTGTTTAAAGGGATAGGTATTTAAGAAGGGATGATAGAAAGATTAACCCTCCCTTTATCCCTCTATTTCTATACTTAGACGGGATGTTTGGGCATCTGAGAGTGAGAATGAGAATGTGGGGAATGTAAAATGGAAGTAGGAATGAGAATTGGTAAGTAGGAAATTTATTAAATATTGTAAATCTCTTATTTGACGTATAAGTCAGGTTAAATTAGGATTAAAGGCCAAATTATTATTATCCTTATGAGGCGTTTGGTTTGAGGGATGAGATTAGGTAGGATAAGAAGGTGGAATTTATAGGTGGAATAAGGGTATAAATATTACAAAGTATATTTCATTGTTAGGTATGGGTTGAGATTAGAATGAAATGAGGGATAACTAACTAAAATACATAATTACCCTTCTATCCTTTCTTTACTCTCTTCTTCTTTAACTTGCATTAAGAATAGAAAACGTCTTGTATATCCATTTAATTTAATCTCCATCCCTTAGACCTTGGGGTGAGCATAGGATGGGTACTCGTACGGTTCGGGTAACTGATAACCAATATCACTAAAAATGATTTCCATAAATCGAACTAATAATTCGAGTACCTAGAATTCAGGTACTTGGATTTTCGGATCGATAAATGGGTACCCAATAAAATATCCAATAATGATAATCAAACTAAATAATGTAGTTATTATAATATAATTTAACAATAATTAACAACAATACCACGTGATTTTGATCAAATTATTAATAATATTACTAATAATTGATATTATAAAGTGATTATGAAGTAAAGTAAGAGTTTAGATTTTGGAAAAATAGATTTAAGTAGGAAAAAAAAAGCAAAAAATTGCTTATAGGATCTGGTTGGGTAACCGTTAATTTTAAAATGATACAGAATAACCATACCCGATAACAAATTATCGGAGCGGGTACTTGAACCATTATGGTTATCGAATCGGGTACCCTAATTTTTGGAACGGTTATGGATTGGTTTTTTCGATAGTTTTGCTTAGCTCTACTGATACCATAACTCCCTTTTTTATCTCCATCCTAACTCTGGAAACCTCCTCATTACACCATCACTCTAAACAAACAAAAGGCTTTCAAATCCTTCCTCTTTATCTTTATCCCTCTAAACAAACAAGTTGTTATAGTTTTAAATTTTGAATATGATATGCGTCATTAAGTTAAGGGAAGTTATGCCTTTTACTTAGTTAGAAAATTTCCATCAACATTTTATTACCTACTCCCTAGGTAATAATGAAATGGTGGGAATATAAGGTAAATAATTTCAAGCTTATTCCACTCTCTAATCTAATTCCCATCCTATAAACATGAGTTTATGGAGATTGGGGATTAATTATCCTATTCCTACCTCATAAAAGTCAAAATCCTACATATCAAACACCTCCATAGGGGTTGGTATAAGAGGGAGGGATGAAGATTATAATTGAAAAGCCCCTCTTAATAAAAAGAAAAAAAAAAGTAGAAGAATAATGTTAGTAAGGATTAGAGCTGGGCATGGGCCCAACACGAAATTGCACAACACAGCATGAGCACGCTAGCGGCACGGCATGACACGATAACCGAGGAATGGGTCGTGCCGTGAACACAATTTCGAAAATTCGGCACGGGCACGACACGAACTCGCGGGCGACATGGTACTTTGGCCCTCCAACATGGCACATGGCATAGCCCAACACGATATGCGACACGAGACACGACATTACCCGTACAAAACAGCTACTCTTTTGCTGCTTTAAACAAATTAATAATAAAAATAACATAAATAATAAAGAAGTATCATAAAAAAAAGAATAATAAAATGAACAATAATAATATAATAATAAAATAACATAAACATAAATCAATAAAATTATTTAAATAGTAAGTTGTTCAAAAAAATACTCGCTAGACACGGTGACCGGCCCGACACTGCACGCCAGACACGTGTGTCATGCCGTGCAGTGGGTCGGGGTGCGTCAAATAGTGGCCCGACACGGCGTAACCCGCCAAAATTCAGCATGACACAAGCCACCACTAAGCACGACGAGGCACTCAGGCACGAGATGCCCACCTCTAGATAGGATACATTGTAACTTTGTTATACTACGCTTATTTCTATCTTATTTATGACTTATACTCTCCTCTAAGTTTTTTAGTGTCCATTGGAACTTGGCAGTTGGCACACATACCGATGCAAAACTTTAACCAATAATATCTTTAATTATCAATAAGTATAAATTATAACGATTGAATACTACTCGATAATCTATACATAGAGATGATTCCAACAAATACTAACAAGATTATATTATTACTTACGTATAATTCACAAACATTGATCAAAATAAGTCAAGTGAATAGTGCAAAAAGCCACAATAAAGCACTTTAAAAACGGAGGGAGTAGCAAATAAAGGATATACAGTAAGGGGCTAAGGGCCTGTTCTCTTCAGCCTAGTTCACCTTCAATCAGTTCAGTTCATTTCAACTTAGTTAATTTCAATAAATCAGAATACTTTAGCTTTATCCTGTCCTATCTTATCCTATCATGTCTTTATCCTATCCTCTTATCTTTCATAGTAAGTATTATTGTCCCTCACACTAAAAATTCTTGGGTGGACCTGGTCCACAATAAATTTATTGTGGACCTTAGGGACTCATGTGCCACATACCACTGAACAGCCCATCTCCTACTAACTTATTTCACAGCCCAGTTCACTAACTTATTTCACAAGCCATTTCTTCTGCCACAACCTACTAATTTCCTTCCAGTTCGACGCCATTAACAACTAAAATAGAGCTCGAATTTTCATCTCTCTCCTTCTAATTCTACGCAATTCTAGGTTTTATTTTCTACTTAATCAATCAATTTCTTCAAATTTCATGGAGAATTCTTCTATACAATCAATTGAAATGGATCTAAATCGAAGTATACAGGACACTATAGAAAACTTCGATATTAATGTCATCAATTTCGATCTGAATGAAGCTGTTGAAGATGAAGAACAAGCTATTATTGAAGTTGAGGATGATAATGAAGTTCATGACGAAAATCAATTTCTAATGAAACCTCAAGGTATTATACGATATATTTATATGCAATTCATATTAGAATTTGATAATGTGAATTAAGCGATAATGCAATTGTTTGATTTGAAGATTAAATTAGACATTTAGGTTTTAATTTGATAATTTGAATTAGGCGATTATATTATGCAATTGTGAATTAAGCGATTATGCATATTTAATTTATGTTGATTGAAAATTAAGTAATTATGCGTAATTTATGTTTATTGAATTATGCGTAATTGTGAATTAAGCAGTTATGCGTAATTGTGAAAGTTAAGCGATTAAGTGTAATTGATGTTGATTGAAAATTAAGCGATTATGCATAATTAAGCAACTTTTAAGTAATATAGTTGCCTTTAGTAATAGTATAGTAATCTATTTTTAAAAATAAATACATTGTACTTATATGATGCTTGTTAAAGCTTTTCTGACATGCAAAGCCACTTTTAAGTAACATAGTTGCCTTTAGTGATAGTATAGTGATCTATTTTTTAAAAAACAGGTGCAAGTAATAACGATGAGATTAGTGGTTGGTTAGTAGGAGAAACTCGAGCAACACTTGCGGAAATACATGAATTGTATTGTCAACATGCTGCTGCAGTTGGTTTTAGTGTTAGAAAAGCAAAACAAACAAGCAAAATTGGAACTAAAGATATCATCACCAAAAATTTCTTTGTATGTTCTGCAACAGGATTAAGAAATTCTGGTAAAAAAAAAGGAAAAAATTGCAGAAGAACTCTTGACAGAGGAAAGTTCTTCAGTTAAAAAAAAAACAAGACAAAGTAGGAGAGTTCCAATAACAAGGACAAACTGTAATGCTTTGATAATAGCAAAATTGAATGAGGAAGGGCAATTTGAGATAGTTCAGCATGTGTTGGTGCACAATCATCCACTCACTAGACCACAATGGAACCATTTCCACCGTTCAGAGCGTGCAATGACTGGAATTAAAGGGCAAGTAATTGAGGCCATGCAAGAATCTGGACTAAGACCTATGGAATCCTTTAATTACATGTCAATGAAGATGGTGGAGAAAATGCTATTGGTCATACAGTGAAAGACCACGTGAATTATTGTTATAAACTGAAAATAAAGGCCATTGAAGGAGGAGATTCTCAAGTAGTTTGTGACAAACTACAGGAAGCTTATTCTGAGGACCCTAACTTCTTTTTCAGAGTAAGGTTGGATTCAGATGGAAGGGTTTGTAACTTGTTTTGGAGGGATTCCATGATGCTTGAAGATTATAAAATATATGGGGATGTCACTGTATTTGACACCACATATAGGACTAATCGTTACAACCTCATCTGTGCACCCTTTGTAGGAATAAACAACCACTGGAAGAACACTATGTTTGCTTGTTCTTTTATTGGAGACGAGACCACAGATTCATTTGTGTGGTTATTTGAGACCTTCAAAAAGGCAATGGGTGGTAAATGTCCTGTATCACTGTTTACAGACCAAGATGCAGCCATGCAGCAGCAATACCAAAGGTAATTTCTAATTTTGAAGGAACTTTTTGAATACCACTACATCTAAATATGTTTGTACTAAAATTATATAGTTACCTATATTTTAAATGCAATAACCAATTTTGAAACTATAGTAACTGTATAAAAATGTGCAGGTATTTCCAAATACTAGACATAGATTATGTCTATGGCACTTGATTCAAAATGCTGTAACAAGATTTGGAGTTTTGAAGAGTGATGATACATTCAAAGCTGCTTTCATGAAATGCTTGAGTGGTTGTATTAATGAAGCTCAGTTTGAAGTATGTTGGGATTCAATGATGACAAAGTACAAACTGAAAAACAATAGTTGGTTCAAAAGGTTATACTCACTGAAGCACAAGTGGTCAACAGCTCTAAGTAAGGACTTTTTCTCCGCGGGAATCTTGTCATCACAGAGAAGTGAGAGCACAAATCATGCAGTGGGATTCAAAGCAAACAAGAAAACAAGTTTGACAGAATTCTACAACATATTTCAGAAGACAGTGAAGACTTGGAGAAGGAATGAGTATTTTTATGAGTTCAATAGCATAAAATCAATTCCTACTTCAAGCTATCCAATGTCTGCCTTACTAAAACATGCTGCTGAGGTTTATACACATACATTATTCAGGGACTTTGAAGAAGAATTCAACCTAGCCATTGGATCTCAAACTAAACTGCTATTCATTAATGGAGACAAAATGGTTTACCAAGTGTACCTTGAAGGCAGAGATGGCACAACTCAAGCAGTAACTTATGATCCTGTTAACCAAACAATTCAATGTCCATGCAAGAATTTTGAAGAGTCAGGTTGGTTATGCTTCCATAGCCTTAGAATCTTACACATGCATTCTGTTGAAAAAATCCCAGAGCAATACATATCTATCAGGTGGACTAAAGTGGCTAAGGATAAAGTTTGGGAGAGTATTGAGGCAGAGCAAAGGAAGAAGGGGACATTAAACAACTTCACACCCTGGCGGCTACACATGGTGAGGAAGTATTATAGTTTAATCCTTAAGAGCCACAAGTTTGAAAAAGCAAGGAAAGTGTTAGAAGAAAGATATGCAAAAGATTCAAGTGCAATTGATGAGATTATTTCTGCTATGAAGTCAACTGACAACCATTCTGAGAACACTACAGGTGTAGAAAAGAATTCAGAAACAACTTCATCTAATGTGGTTCAAGTACTAGACCCAGCTCGTGCAAAAACTAAAGGAGGTCAATCAAATAAAAGGATTCCAGGAAGCTATGACTACATGAAAAAGGGGAAGAGGAGGAAACATAGAGAATTTGGTGCCAAAACACCAAATATTAATAATAAGTATATGCTTTGATAGTTTTAAGACACCAAATATTAATATTTTTTATCATAGTAACCTGAATTGTTACATGGTTACCTTTTATTTGTAATTTCATTCCTGGAAACTTTATATCTTTTAAATACTTATATAGTTTCTTTTTTTTAAGATATAGTGTCTTTTTTTATGACATAGTGTCTTTTATGATTGACATAGTGTCCTTTGTTATAGTATTATGTCTTTTGATTTGATCTTATATTGTACTTATTGCTTTTTAAAGAAACAAGGAATAAAGCACATGAGTACTGTAATACCTTATACACAAACCTTTTTTCTCTAAACTTGTTGTTAATTGGTAGTTTGCGGTCCTACACAGAAGGCTCCTTTTAGTTGTTAAAGCTGTTTCAATGTTTCCTGTGATCAACAGATAACAAATCAAGAAATTGAAATGCTTAAATCTTAAATACTGATTATTATGATATAGTATCTTTTATGATTAACATAGTAACCTTTAATTTTGAGATATATACTTCTTGGAATAGTAATATTTTTTTACAATATAGTGATCTTTATTTTAATATAGTAATCTTTATATAATACCCTTATATTGTTAGTTTATTACCATTAGTTAACATAGTCCATAATTTTGACTTAGTTACCTTTATATTTAGAATAGTAACCTTATTAATAAAATAGTGACTTTATTTTAACATATAGTGACCTATGATAATTACCATTAATTTAAAACATAGTCCTTATACTTTTGACACTATAAAATATTGAAAAGGAAGTAGCCTTTTTTTACCAAACAAAGACCTTGTAAATAATATAGTGACTTTATTTTAACATATAGTGACCTATGGTAATGAAGTGACATTTTAAACCAACTAAAGACCTTATAAATGATATAGTGACTTTATTTTAACATATAGTGATCTATGGTAAATGTGACCTTTTTGAACCAAACAAGGACCTTATAAATAATATAGTGACTTTATTTTAACATATAGTGACATAAGATAACAGAGATCTTTAATAATTGAATTAAACAAACAATATACCATTTTCATAATATATTGGCAGAAGCTTGTTTACACAAAATGAATATTTTTTCCATTCTTCATTCAATAACCTACACAAAAATTGAATGAATACTAATTAGCTATACATTCTTCAAAGTACGTTGCTTAGTTTAGAAAATTATGATAACAACTAAGTTTAAAAATCAGTTTCACAATGTTAAGCCTTTCCTTGCTTAGTTTCAGAAAATTATGATATCTTAAGCCTTTCCTTTCTTCTTCTTGTCTACAGTCTGCTTCTTCTTATTCTTCCTCTGCTCAATCTCTTTCTTCCTTCTTTCTTCAACCTCTTTTGAAAGACGCTGCCTATCAGGTTTGAATTCAACCACCTTACCAATTACATTTGATCTAGCTTCATTCATATCAGATAACAGTAAAGATGCAGCAATTTGAACCCGGAAAATCTTCCTATTTGAAGCCTAAAAAAATATATAATCGATATAAGATATTGTGATATTAATTAAAAGAAATAAAAGAAATAAGTTAAAAGGAATAGAATCATAACTGTTTTTAAAATTTCACATTTAAACTCATCAGCTTCATTGAATAAAAGCATACTCATCATAGTATAAACACCAGAATCTGAATTATCTTTGCTAGATCTCCAATTCAAAGTAGGAAACTCCAAAGCATAGTCAACCATAGCTCCAGATTGAGTAAGTCTTTGATCAAAGAAGGTACTGATCATATCACACTACCAAAAAATCATATAATCATATCACAGTCACATTTGTCCAAATCCTAATTACTAAAACTCACTGTAAAAACCTTTAGACAAGAATATAGTGAAAATATGGAAGAGTGAGAAAGTAATACCAAGAGACTAGATAACTTTTTGAAGAAGTTACGACCATTCTCATCATAATTCAGATTATCAATAAACTGAATTTTTCCTTGAGTCAAATTCACCACAAATAAGCAATAATGATTGCCACTTAGACAAGGTAAAAATATCTGCAACAAAGATATCATAATTAGCAATAAAAAAACAAAGTAGCCTCTACACTATTGCTTTGGCTAATGCTTCCCAGAAAATTAAAGGCAAAATGACCTATCACTTTATTTTCTGACATAAGCTCAATTATTAATAGTTCATCCTGACCAGGGAATAAATTTTGCTAGAAACAGTTGTTGGCTTTAAGTAGCCTCTACACTATTTAACAATCTGTCAATTAAGCAAGAATCGGAAGAAACGGAGAAAAGATACAAAGCAAAGGTGTCAAGCTGGAAATTTGAAAATTCCAAGAAAAGGAATGCAAATTCACAAGTGAAAGATGAAAAAGCAGTACACTCACTAGTTGTTCATTGAGGACCCTAGACTCACACTCTACCCAAAGTCCCAAATATCAGTAGACAAAAACCAAAATGATGAATAGCCCCTTCAAACTACCCATAACTCCCAAACCCTAACAGAGTCGAACCAAAGGACATATCCAATGCTCTCACAAATGAAGCAATAAAACGGAAAATTTGGATGACAATATAAATAATTGTCTCCAGAATCTAGAGTTGTGTCACAAATGGATCACACAAAAGGATTCCAATCTCACCTTACAAATAAGATATAACCAGATAGGAAAGGATTGAGTTCTAAAAAAATACAACTACCAAAACAATTGTATAAAAAGTACCAGTAGAAAACAAAACAATTTATAATGTAGACTTTTTAAGAGTATTTTACAATATGCACTCTCATTTAAATAAAGCTAACTACAACATAAAAAAAAGGAACTATATTATCATAGCATCAAAAAAAGAAAGTATTACCAGCTCCACTTCTGACAAATCAAAATTATTGCAAGCTATTTTCATCCACTCCTCCAATTCTTGATATACATTGTCCACTAGTTGTGAATTGTCATCACTGCAGGCAAATAAAAAAATAACTGAAAAGTAAACACATGTATAAACATTGAAATAATAAAAAAAACTCACACTAATTGAAGAACCAAAGTACAATTTTCGAGGTCCATCCTTAACAAATTTCTGATTTTCATTTAGAAGCAACGCCTAGCAATCCAAAATACTACTGCTCATGATTTCAGAAGGCTCTCCTAATGTGTAAAACTCTTGCCTTTGAATCAAATGATTTTCATGAAAGCATACCAATAGTTCACCGTGTCAAAGAATATAAAATAAGAATTAAAAAAGTGTTTCATAAATAAATAAAAAAATAAAAGAAAAACAATGTAATCAAGTAAAAGCTTACTTACTTAGGAGGCAAACAAGAATCATTGATAATGCAATATTCAACAATCTCTAAGACTAATGGATCCAATAGCTTCATTTCCTTGTTATTTGACTTCAAAAAGTGTGAAATAACAATAAGCCTTTCATCAGATTTCCAATTAAAAGAAATCGAACACCTGGACCTTCCATTTGTAATAATATTTTCAAAGCCAATCACAGGTAAAGTTCCCCTATTTTCCTCCCTCCCTTCATTTGTCTTGTTGTGCTCAAATGCAGAAACTTGATCCAACACCTCGGGCATTTTTGTCACCCAAATAGCAAGTTCAGAGATCTCATCAATCACAGATTGAACTTGAGGATCCAAAAAAAAATGATCATCCTGAGAATCATTAACACCAGCAGCATTGTGGATCTCATTGTGGCGTGAAAGAAGAATCTCCTTTATCTTGTCATTGTAAAAACAAGATATCACATTCATATCTCTTTTCATGAACAAAAAATGCTCATGAACAGGCTGCAAAGAGATTAAAAAAATCATGTATAAATATTGAAATCAAATCCAATATTTCAAAAAAAAAGAGGAATAAAAGTCAGAAATTCCTTACATCAATAGCAGATGAATGGATCTCCTGATCTGACATAGAACCTGGTGGGAGATTAAACTGTATTGTACCAGTTGTACCAGTTACATCATTACCCTCCCTAACATTTTCAACATTTCCCACACTTCCTGCTGTAGTACCCACGGGAGCATCCTGTAAATTCAGCTTACGACTAACAGGATACACATCACAGAGCAAAATCCCTGAACCAAAACTTTTCGACAACTTTTCCTTCTTAATTCTGTCCCTAATCAACTCATCATTCCAATGTTGAATTAAGGGTAAAGAAGTACTTTATTCAACATTCCTAAATCTCAACCTATGAAAGTAAATAATCTCCAACATCAAAATACAACCACAACAGTTTTGAATTTCTCCTTTTTGGTAACTTTTAACACCTTCACACAGTTTTTCAAGAACATATTTACACCAATTCAAATTTTTAATTTGTCCAACATCATCAAGTGCCTTAGCAATCCTAAGATCAGCAGTTCGGTTAGAAGTAGGAGCCAAAAAAGAGGATATTGCATGCATAACAAAGAGTTGCTTAAACTCATCACCACCTTGATCTAAAGTAGGTATCCTATCCTCTAACAAATTAAGTGGAATTTGGTCATTTTCATCTGCCAACCCAAAATTCAACCTCCAATTATGTTTGAAAACAAAGTCAGGATTACTTTTATTAGCAGATCGAGGTATCTCCTCAACATTATTAGGGTTCAAAGGAAGGCAAAATACGTCATACACATCATATTCAGTGACCACAAACTCCTTACTATTGTCTATTGAAAACATGCAGCTACCATAGTCAAAACAATCAATTTGCCACCTATACATACTAGTAGGACTCCTTTTCAATTTCAATGATAACAACCCTCCAAAGCCGATTTCATTCACAGAAAGTTTTTGAGCATCAGTAAAGTTAGACATTTGAGCATCAGTAAAGTTAGACATCAAGTCAACCAATTGCAAAGGCCTACATTTAGTTTTAAATGGTCGCAATCTGCAAAATAGAAATAATAACGCAAAGTCACACAAACATGCACGTTGAATCTAATTTTTTCAGAACACTACAAAGTAAACAAAGTTACTTACATAGGTACATCACCACCAGCTTCAACTGTATTTGTTCTTGTCCTTTGCCTCTTAACACGAACAAGAGCAGTAGCGCGAACACTAGGTTCAGGTTCATCTTCACGAGTTCTCTTTTGCCGAGACGAAGGTGAACCAGTTGCCTGATGCTCATGAAGCTCTCTGGAAACATCTTGTTCAGGAGCATTCTTTTTCTTTTTAGCTCTAGTATTCTTCTTCAAGCCTTTGACAACATTTGTATACAAAAGAAATCAAAATGTATATTATAGTAACCTTTGACAATTTTTATAATTATTATATAAAGCACAATTAACAAATCATACATGAAACATATTGCTATCAAAATTACATTCAAACCTCACAAAACACTAGATCTTCAGTACAAAACAAAATTCATGCAAATAGTTCAATTAAACAAAAACAATAATTAATCAGCTCAAATTTACACAAATCTTAATCGAGAACAACACATTAACAATAAAATTGAATGAAAAACAGGAAACAATCAAAATTGAAAGAAAATAAAAATCGAAAATAGCAAAACCCTAGATCTTCACCACAAAACAAAATTAAAACAAAAATTCATACAAATAGTTGAAATTAAAGAAAAACAACAAATAACCAGTTCAAATTTACACAAATAATCATCGACAACAACACATTATCAATAAAATTGAATCACAAAACAAAAAACAATCAAAATTGAACGAAATAACAATCAAGCTTCGCAAAACCCTAAATCTTCACTACGAATCAAAATTCAAACAAAAATTCATATAAAATTCATCCAAATAATTTCAGTTAAAGAAAACAACAATTAATCAACTAAATATTGCAGAAAAAAGATATAAACGAAGATTACCTGAAGGTTGTGGTTCGTCGACTTTTGTAGCAGAAGAACGGAGGCCACGTTTTCGTTGAAATGTACCACGTCCTCTGGTTCTTGCCATTGAAGAACTCGAGCTGAGGAGAGAGAAAATGGAAGAAGGGAAGAGAGAGAAAGTGTCAGAGTAATTGGCAAAATAAAGGAAAGAATTAATTTGGTAATTTGGAGCAATTAATATGTAAGAAAATAGGAGAGGAGAGGAGAGGAGAGTAAACTCAGCCAGCTGAGTAAAGTCACGTGATAAGTTTGGTCCACAATAATGTTATTGTGGACCAGGTTTATTTAAGAAAAATTACCCTCACACAGTCACACTAAATACCTAATACCGTAATACGGAGTATATCTTATCCTATCACATCCTTATCCAATCCTTTTATCCTTCTTACATCTGTATCACTTTTCCTCGCACCAAACACCCAATATATATAAGTAAAAGAGAGAACAATAGATGTAAAATGTTGGTGTGAATGTGAATTGTGAGATCATCAAGGTAAACCACCCAGGCACCCACGAATCCACTATCACACACTGTTACCAGTTATCACTCAAATTAGTCAAATGACTTCTTCTATATTCATCTCTCGAATTTCCCCTTCGTTAATTCCTAGCACCTTCCAATTCTCTGCTAAATTAGCTTCTTCATCTTCTTTCTCTCTCCTCTCTAATCTTACCCAGGTTGAATCAGGATCATCATTCTTCTGTAAAATCAAAACCCTCATTTCAAATTTCACCATCAATTTTTAATTAATTAATTATTTATTTTTTTAATTATTCATTTTTTTTGCAGCAAAGGAGTGGAATTCGATCGTTCTCAGTCACTTCATCAATGGCGGCAGCATCATCGGAACCCAAGGAAGCTGTTTCTAACAATCCTGGCCTTCATTCAACACCTGATGATGCTACCAAGGGTTATATTATGCAGCAAACTGTATAATTCGATCTTTACATTGTGAATTTTGTGTTTGATTTGTGATGTGATTGCGTTTAATTTATGAATTTTACTATTTTTTTTTTTGGGTTTTTGTTTTTGTTCAGATGTTTCGAATTAAGGACCCGAAAGTGAGCTTGGATTTCTACTCTCGTGTATTAGGCATGTCGTAAGTTCTTTTGCTTGATGATTATTGATTAACCATAATCTTTGCAATTTGTGTGCTTGGACGACTCCTTAAGATTTAAAGTTTTGGGAATTTTATGGATATCTTGGTTAAACTTTATTGTAATTATGTTATGCTATGGATTTAAATCGTTATTGAACTTCCGCATTTGGTTGCTGATTGTTACTTTGAGTTATCAATGTTATACGATGATGACATTAGAATAAACTTGAAAAATTAAGGATTTTTTGTTTTTTTTTTGTTTATTTATTTATTTGGTTTTGTTTTACAATCAAAATTAATGGTATTAGAATAAACATGATTTTTTAAAATTAATGGTATTAGAATAAACATGATTTTTTTTAATTAAAAAAATAGATGAGTACTATTTTCTAGGGGTTTTTTGGCTCAACAAATTGGAATGGAATGGATTGAGAGGCTGGGGGCCCATACCATAGTGGTATGGATTGAGAATCCTATATCTTGCTACGCCTAAACTTGTTTGGTGTGAAATTAGAATGGATTTGTATCTAGTTAGGGTCTGAATCTAGGGTGGAATGGATTTAGTATCTTAGGGATGGAGGTGGGTATGAGAAGGGGGTTGGAATGGAGTTAGATACCATTAGTATGAGTATAGTAGTAGTTATTTTAAGGATGACTAGTTGACTACTATAGAAACATCCAACAAGGTGGGGCTAATTCATTACTTTTGAAGCACACAAGTATTCCAACACAATGCCCGTATCTGGTATCTTGTCCCCCTTCAAATGCACAACAAGTTGTAGTCTCATAGTAAGGCATATTAGCTAGTAAGTAAGCAGTTCTTTAGATTTGCTACTTCCCATGCTTGGGCTGCAGCAGAGCAGTCTCCCACTGTATGAATATCAGTCTTGATTGCAATGGCATCTGCCACAAAGCATTTGCACTGGACATATACTTATTAATGTTACCTCTTGTTTGGAAGGCTCCTTTGCAAAGCGTTTAGATAAAGATAGACCTACCTTTCGAGGGCACCTGTGCATCCCATATCTTCCAGGGCACTGTTACTAGCCGTAATAGAAGTCATACTGCTGTGCAAGTTCCTCCAGCTGCCAAAATGATGTCCAATTCTAAGAGAATAATGACCATCCTTTGTGTAGAGAGCCATATGTACTGGAAATGTTCTAGTTTGATTGTTGTCCTGTTCATGAATAATATGATGAACATAGTACAGAACCTGTTTGATTTCTAGCTTAAAATCCAAAAAGTGAATATGTTTAAGTAAGCTCCTTCTGTATTTCAGGATTTTTGGCCTCATGAATTTTGTTTTCCTGGGATTTAGTAAAGACACCTTCCAATGTTACCTGTATCCTTTTTTCAATTTTGGTGTCAGGTTGTGAAGGAGATTGATAAGGGTAGGACAGAGATTCCGGGGGGGGGGGGGGCGAATAGATGAAAATGGATGGAGGATTTAGAGGACGGTTAGGGTAGGTATAAATATGACGGAGAAAGAGTGAACCATTATGATTTATGACATTGCAATTGAGATGAATTAGCGTTGCAGATGAATAATGCCTAGTTGCTTATTGGTTATTAGGTGTGTCAGGAATCACAAAGTAAGAACAACACCTGCTCCTGTGTAAACAAACATATTAATGTAGGTAGTTATGCAAATTATATTGCCTTACACCTACACTGTAAACTAGTTAGTTTTGTTTTGGGGTTAGAAAATATCATTAACTCAGGTTGAGCGAGTGACAATAATTGTGCACAATCTTTTAGCTTATGACAAATTATTAGTCTGGAATGGTTGCAACTTGTAAGCAATCCAAACATCATTAATTAGATTAGAAGTTTTGGTTGTTTTGATCTTTTTTCTTTTGATTATATACTGACAGGTGGAACATTTTGGATCAAGTATATTGGTGGCGATAGTTTATTTAGTTAATCGAATCTTAAATTTAAAATTTCTTGGATTGCCTCATTTTTTACTAGTATTGCTTAAGCTTCTTTGCTTGTGGGTTTTTAACCCCTTATTTATTTTTGCCATTTGTCAATTTGTAGACTTAAACAGATTTCAATCTAGGCTTATAAAATTGTTTTTACCAACATTAAAAGTGTATGTACTATTTTTGCAGACTTCTGAAGAGATTGGATTTTGCTGAGATGAAATTTAGCTTGTACTTCATGGGATATGAGGTAATAGGGATGCCTATCTTTGACTAAAGTAATTTGCAGCTTGCCATTTAGTGTTTTCCTTAGTTTCGAGTAAAATTGCCAATAATCTGAGATGAAGGACTAAATTAATGTTCTATGCCTTGTTTATTTATTCAGCTAGTCCCATTTTTACTGAATTGAAATTTTTGTTGAACTTAAATTATTTTTACTAAACTAAAATTAATTATACTAAAATGAACTAAACTAAAATTATTTTTACTTATTTTCTATTATATTTCTTCTTTAAGGTTACTAATTTTTACTAAATTGAATTTATTGTGAAACTATTTTATTGAATATTATTTTTATAAGGTGAAGTGAACATGGCCTTAATCTACTTCAGCTTTGTGTTCTATTTTTATTTTTACAGAATGTTATTTTTGTAAGGTGAAGTGAACATAGCCTTAGTTTATTTTAGCTTTATGCGTTCTGTTTGTTTGTTTATACTATCCTTTTCTTACCTTTAAATGAGAGATTACAAACTAGGACTTACTAGTCTATTTGGATATGTGCAATTAACTCTGATAAAACACCAAAAGCCTTAGCCCATAAAAAAAATTAGTTTTATCCATAGCAAGCAAATCGCTTGATAAGGTGGCTCCTAAGTGCAAGTAGTTAGGTAAATTTCTTTCTTGCTACACACTTCATGACTGTTGTAGATTCATTGTGTCGTTGAAACCCTTTCTTTCCAGCTCATCTGGACCTCACAAAGTGCTTTTGCTCCCAAAAAAAAATATGCAAAGAAAACAACTTCTTAAGAATAGTGTAGTCTTAGAAGAAATGAACGTTCGGTTAGATAGCTAAACTTCTTCATTTTGGAGCATTTTTGGAATTAGTCCTACAACCATACTCAAAAGCTCCCACCTAAAGCGGGATGTTGGCCTTTCATATTGATTTGATACCAAAAAGAAGAATTATTATGGTGGCATGATCAAATAACATAGAAAAGACTTGTATGAAAAGGGCCTCAGTAAAACACCAAGATATCTAAATAAGTAGAAGCTGAAGCAATAAAGCTGGTTCTTATATCTCTTTCTCACAGGAAGGCCTCTGTAAGCCTTTTTAGAACCCACTGCTTTGGCTTAGCTCTATCATAAAATATGTCTGACGGGGAAATGAAAGTGGGTAATTGGGGATAATTTTCTATGAATAATACCTTGATTTTCTTTTCTTCACCCGAACTATTTTCTCTTTGATGACACAATATTGAAGGTACTTACATTTAGGAGGGAACTTGAGTGAGAACCATTTTCATCTTAGAGCAAAATTCTTGAATTCAGTCAATGAGCTGTATTGATGTTTGATTTTCTTGCTGTAGGATCCTTCTTCAGCTCCTAGTGATCCATTAGACCGAACTGTTTGGACCTTCAGTAAGAAAGCTACAGTTGAACTTACTCAGTGAGTGCTATATGTTGTGATTGATGATTCTTCGTAACCAATCGCTTGCTACTACTGTTGCTCTACTTTTTACCTCTAACATGTCGGTATACTTCTCAGCAACTGGGGCACAGAGAGTGATCCTGAATTCAAAGGTTATCACAATGGAAACTCGGAGCCTCGTGGCTTTGGTATGATATTTTTCCCTTAAGAGTTTGTCTTGTTTCTTGACTGAGATACAAATATTTGAATCCTTGTGGATTTATTTTATTCTACTCTGCCGGCTGTAGTTATTCTTGCCTTTTTTGTTTTGTTTTGTTTTGGAGAACTGGAACAAGATGAGTTGCCAGTATGATTCATGTATTGCTATAGCATTGTGGTATAACTTTAATAGAAAGTTTATAAAATGATGTCAACCTCCATCTGCTCTTCCTGAGAAACAATTCTTTTATCCCATAAAGAAAGTTGTTTTTATGTTGATGTCATATATGAGGGAAAAAGAAAACGTTTAAATAATTTGTCAAGTAGGATTGGTTGTAATGAGGTTGGTAAGTTGTGTAGATTAGTAGCTTAGTACAAGCTATTGTTGGAGACAAACTCTTTGTGCATATTATAATAGAAATAACCAAACACATTTTCTCAATGGTGAATAATATGTACTGGGGAAGCTTACATGTAAGGTTTCTAGATGTTTTCTAGGCGGTTCTGTGTGATGTAATGTTAATCTGAATTTTCCATATAGATAAGACCACCTCTTGTTAACCACAAAATTCGTAGATTTATGCTTGGTATTAATTAGGGATCAGCAAGACCACTCTTAAGCTCCACAATCTCTATCACCAGAGTCAGACTCTCAGGGCTCTAGTTTGCTTGACAATTTGGTCATTCGGTTAATTTGTGCACCGCATTAGAAGTCAACTACTCTGGCTTCTATGCTTAAAATAGTAGTTTGACAGCTTCTTATGTAAGATATTTTTTGAACTTGTGAAGTTATAGTTTCAAACTTCAAATAGACAATGTTTTCCCTAAGAAAAAGAATTAAAAGTGAAGCTACTTTGTCCCAGGTGATTAATTCAAAAAAAATGTGTTTTTGTCATGATGAAGTTTTTATTAGCCTTATATTTAATTTTACTTTCTTAGACTGATGAAGGTCAATGTACATGAGAATTTACCGAGGCATAATTAATGACTTGAGTTCATTCTACCTTTTTTGGTACAATTTTTTAGTGATGAAGTGATGGTCAATGTAAGAAGGACAGAAATTGTGTGTGTGTGTGTTTTTTTTTTAATTTATAACTTTCGTATCTAAACGCAAAAATCTAGTGGACAACAAGTTTCCTAAGACGCAGTGTATAAAAAGGCATGGCTAGGGGCAAGGAGACTTGGTCGTACACCTTTGTTGGTCTGGGTGAGACCAATTTTATTTGGCACACTAGAGGCTCTCAACCTTTTTTTTTTTCCAAAATCATCTTCTCCTTTTTGTGTAGTGTGCGTCATTTCAATGACCTAAGGCGCAATGAAATCCCTGTTACTTTTGTGCGTCTTGAGTCTCTTTATACATTAATTGTTAGCACAAAACTTATCATACAACTTATCATGAGGATTTTTTCTTTATTGGGGCAAACTCTGACTAGTGTTAATGGTAGTTATCAATTTGAAGCCCCTATGAGACCGTTCATACAAAAACTATGTTTGCTAAATTTTTTTGGTGCACTTGTCACTCTTTAAATTAAGGGCAAATCCTTGTTCACTATGTAAACGTAAGTGATAATATAAAAAGTTCGAATGATTGATAATGATTAAGAATTTCCACTTTTAACTCTTAACAGTTTAACTAAACTAATATACTATCACTGCATATATTTCCCTAAATTAAGAAATAAGAACTAAGGAAATGTGGTGAGGGGGATTTCTCCTATTCTTCGCTTTTCTGAAGGTACAGTCAATAGTTTAGGTTGTGGTTGGTTGATTATGGTTGTGATCATAATTTGTATATATGGTTGGTTAATGTTAAGAACAGAATTCCTTATTGTTTTGGGGTCCTTGGCCTCATTGTGGCAAAAAAATAATAAAAATAACCTTAAATCTGTTTTCTCTTGTTATTTATATCCTGCCCATTTCAAAATTTTTGGATCTACCACTCTGCCCTGTTTCCGACCAATTTTCTTCTCCATTTACTGGCCTCATTTTTTCGTAGCTCTTTCTATCGGTCTATCCTGATGCATTCAGCTTTGATTTATGTCTGTTAAGTTCTTAGCAACAATCTTATGTGTATTTGCTCACAGGGCACATAGGAATAACCGTTGATGACACTTACAAGGCATGCGAGAGATTTGAACAGTTGGGTGTGGAGTTTGTAAAGAAGCCTGATGATGGTGGGTCTTTTATTTCATAAATTTGATCATCTTATAATTATCATATTTTGTTTGAGGAAAATAACCTGAATTGCTGGCCACCTTTTCATGTGTAATATATGATTATATGTTAAGAAAAAAGAAAGCCCTGCGCTTGTGTTTGTCAAAATCTGATCTTTTAAGGTTGAATACTTTGTATGTTGTAAATAGTAATGTGGGTAATATATTGAGAATGGTGTCTGTTGGTACTACACTAGGATCAGCTATGATACTTTGAATAGTGAGTAGGTTTCTCACTTCTCTTGTGGTGAATATTTTGCAGGCAAAATGAAAGGGATCGCATTTATAAAGGATCCTGATGGCTATTGGATAGAAATCTTTGATCTTAAGTCAATAAAAAGTGCTGCTGGTGATGTCTCTTGAAGCGTTGTTTCAGGGGCTTTCTGTTACTTTTTTTGTTATCCCATGAAGTTTAATTGAAGATATACTATCTAATTTACTTCATGCTATATGCAGAACTGGGATTTTGAGATTCAAATAGCTGTCTTATTTTTTTGAACTTATTTAAATATGATTGTTATGATTGCACTTAGATTCTTTCTTGAGTTGTTGAGAGTCAATAGGTATTTGGAAGGGGCCCATAAAATGTTGTATTAGATTGAGAGAACTCAAAGACAAAAAAGTAATGCTGCCATTTTTGGAACTTCCCAAAAGAGAATGGGGAAGTATATATCTCTGGCTAGAAAGTTTTGATTCTGGTCACAAAGTGGGTAGTGGGTTTGCATTGATGAAATTTCAAATTGTTAGTTGAACTAGTACTAAATCGATATATTAAGAGCTCTTATTATGAATGTTGATTGAGGAGCATGGGCCTAAAGAGACTAAGTTTTGGCAGCTTAATCTTGCAAAAATTGAGAGCATTTCATTTGGTGATTGAAGTGTTTTAGGTTGTTTAATTGATCGATTATGTCCAAGGGATCTAATGTGGTGCTCTCTAGATATTATTTGACGCACTGTTGTTCCTTGGCTGCAAGAGCTGAGTGGATTTTTTAGCAAGTTGTATAGTGCTCATGTCATTGATACTTTTGATAGTGTGTTAGGCTTTGATAGCAATTTAGGAAGCTGCTACTGAATAACGTAAGGTCATTAATTTTTGTGCCTAAGTGAGATCAATGGGTTATTCGAGGTTGTAGGTACTTGGGGCTCTACTTTTGTTATGTCTAGCAAGTAACAATATCATTTCTAATGGACTGCACGAGTTTGTGTTGGTTCACCTGTATTTAGGCTACTTCTGATTAACCTGTTTCTTCACATCATTGCAGTAGTGAAATTGTCATCAGTTGGTTCATATATATTGGTAAATCTTTATTGAACTATTATTTTTAGAAGCAATATATAGATGTTGCAAGATGGTTGAAAATGGTAGGATCTACTTTTAAGATAGTGTAATCAAAGTTACAAGAACATTTAGGAGGTGTTCTAGTTGCTCCTCATGAGTCCTGTAAGTTTGGGTCCTGGAAGTGGGGCATAGTTGGGTGAAATATTATGATAGTTGAGTGTCTAAATTATCCCAATTGAAGAAATTGATGGCTACTGGCTATATTCTTCACTTGGAAGTTTAAATTTGTACTACTTTTCTTCTTGTAATACTTCCTTCATTTCTGAGAGATGACCCATAAACTTGGTTTATGTGGGGCTAACATAAACTTCCAATAAAAAAAACTAACACATCACCCTAAGTCAAAAAAAAAGAGAGGGAAAAATGGGAGGGAAAGAATTTCATGATGGCGCTAAATTTGGGACTTTTTCGCTCCTTCATTTTTTGGCGTTCAAAATTTATTGTGTTACTAAATAATTATTTATGATACTAATAAATAAAATTTGTAACTAGAATTAATAATGTAAGTCATTAATGAAGAGAAAGATTTTTTTATAAGAATTGGATATATATCATTTGATAATATTTCTTAAATTACAAATCAAAAAAGTATTATGAAAACACCTGTGAAATTCTTTTTTAATGCTCTTTCTAAAGACATTCATATTGATATATTTTCAAAAAAATTAAATAGTTGGACAATTTTAACCTTACTATAGTGTTGTATTTTACCTTTATTTTTTACTCTCGATACCAATAAACATCGGTTTGTTATCCAAATTAAATTTAGTTGAAGGGCTAAACTAAAATAGTGAATGGTTAAAATCAAATTTCATTTAGAATACAACAAATACTTATATATGCAAATTAAATAAAAATAAATTAAATATATTATTAATAAAACTTAAAATTTTAATAATTTGAAATCTTTGTTTATATCTTGTTAGTAGATTTCTAACTAATTTTCGTTTCATACGTAAAAATTCTCTCTCCTCTCATCTCCTCTCCTCCTCTCTTCTAGGGTTTCTCCAAAATCTTGACCCTTTTCCTTTAATTTTATTTAGTTTTGCAATTTGAATTTCAATAAATCTACACAAGTAGTGTGGATATTCGTCCGTCTCCCTATGGTGGAGTCGTTAGTTTTCGTTAGTTTAGTTGTTTGTTTTTGTTTAGGGTTTGTTTGTGTGTTAGGGTTCATCAAAAAAGTAATGATCTTTTGCCCTATTGTCAGTTTTTTGGTGAAGATTTGTTCGGGATCGCAACAGTTGTCAAATTTTCAAATGCGTTCAGGCGAATCAGATGAGAATCATCCTTACGGCTACAACAAATCGTTAGACCGTCTCTCCGAAAAGGCTGTACATTCCAGCGATGTGTGCGAGAGATGTACCACAATGCAAGATCTTTTCAACGATCGTAGCTCTGATGAAGGAAAACCTAATTTGATTCAATTTTATGTATTTGTTAATTTAGATTTCATTTGTAGATGCCGGATGATTTTTTATTAATGAATTGATTTGTTTCAAAAAAAAAAAAAAAACAAAAATTCGTTTCATTATTACATAATAATTAGTGAAGGGTTAAAATCAAATAGAGGGGAGTTAAAATATATAACATTTGAAATACATAAAGTAGTTATCGGTTACTAATAAATATAGCATTATGTGAAACAAAAGTTTTAAATAACATATTAATACTTCATCCATTACATCGCAACTTTAGAATTTTTTAATACCCCAAAGTTTGGTCGAATATTGTTTGTAGTACTAATAATCTAATATGATCTTTATTCTTAATATTAGATAATCGGTTTCTCCAAGGCACAAAAATTTATTAAACTTGTAGTGAAACGTACTAATCACTTGTTATTTTTAAAAATAAAATGATGCTTCTTTATAATAATACAACTACTAAATATTAATCAATTGTTTTACCAAAAAGTGAAATTATGTTGTTAATTAGATAATAATTTATTATTAAAACACAATTATTAATATTGTAATATACAAATACTAACACTTGATTAGCAAATAGTGAGGTTATACAAAAATAATCATTTTCAAAATATAATAGTGAAGGGTTAAAATTATGGTGGAGGGTTATAATAAAATAATTTTGAATTACAAATAATAGTTTTCGGTTACTAATAAATATATAATTTTGTCAAAAATTATAGGATTTAAAAACGCAAAATAAGTAAAAAAATTTAAACATATTAATTTATAATACTTAAAATTTTTGAAACTTTGTTTACGTCTTGTAAGGACATTTTCAACTATCATACTACAATTGTTATTTTTTTAAAAAGTGAAATTATGCTCCTTAATATTAATACTACTACAAACATGTCTTAAAACTTACAATTGTTGCATCAATAACCAAATTTGAGGAATATTCTGTATGTTAAAATCTTCTTACTTTATATATTTTTTTATTATGAGATCTTCATACTTTATATATAATTTTTTTACGAGATCTTCATATTTTATATATTAATTTTTTTTTTTGAAATCTTCATATTTTATTGAAAAACTAAAATATAGATTTTGAATACTAATTATATAATTGATTTTATTGTAATCTAATAATGAATACTATTTAAATAATTATTGTTACCAAATAAATTAGAAGGTTACAATCGTTACAACTCGTTTTATTTTTAAGAAACCTGATTTTTTTCCCTTTATTTTAATTTCAATTTTAATAATCAATTAATTAACTCCAAAAGTTTCATATATAGAAAAGTTTGATTCAGATTTAATGTATTGTCATTGTGAATAATCCAATGTTGTCTAACATCTATTACTAGTCAATAATCTAACTTGACATTCATACTCTGATGTTAGAAATCTGAAAAACTGTTCTTAAAAAAACAAAATTACAATCTGAAAAATTAAAATTGAAGAACATTGGAAATAATGAAATTTCAATTAATATAATATTTTACAATTCGATTGAATAACTATATGGTATAACATAATTTTTCTTCAATACAGCGAAGCTAATATATGTATGATCTTAAAAAAAAAAAAAAAAACATTCCTTTTTTTCTAGTTTTGAACATAAGATTCATACAAATCAAAATAAGAAAAAAAAATCACAAACCAGATCCGTAACACAACGATAAATGAGATATAATAATAAAAAAATTGTATAACATAACATTGTATATGTATAACAAATTTTTAAGCAACTCAAGCAAAAGATGTAGAAATTTTTTTTACAGAAAATATACAAGAACATGAAAAAAATTAGAAAAGAGAGAAGAGAAAAAAAAATTAATCCGCTAAAAATCAAACTGCAAAAAATTTAAGCCTAATATAATAAGAGGAGAATAATTCTTGCAACATGAAAAAACATTATATATATACATAAAAAAAATTATATTATAGAAAAAATCTAAAAAAAAAAAATCATATCAAGAACTTGAAGAACAATGAAAGAGAGAAAAGAGAAAAACTGGACAAAAAAACCAGCCAAAAAAATGAGAGGAGAGAGAGTAGGGTGGTTGCAAATGTGGGTGCATTGATTTTGCCTAGAAAAAATAAATCAAATTTGAAATTTGATTCGAAATTTTGGTTTGAATTTTAAATAAAATGTTTAAAAATAATATTTTTGGGGTCCAAAATATTTACCAACCATATCATGTCATGTCATCAGTTTATATATGGCCCAAATAAACCTGGTTTATGTGTAGCCTTTACCTTCGTTTCTTCATATTTTCAACACTTTGAATTTAGCACCATCCATGTGCAAAATACCAAGTTTGACCACATATTTTTGGTGGTTTTAGTACATTTTAATTGGTTGAAGCTACTGCGGCTAGAAACGCCACACCAATCATAGGCTTCCTGTAGGGGAGAAGAGGTGGTTTGGTCTTTTAGAAGAGACAAGTAATGGATCAAAAGTGTAATGAAAAAAGTGAGAAAGAGAAACTACTAATCGGTACTACGAAATATATACTAAGGGTAAGAGCATGCCCAACGGTTAACCAATTGGGTTGGTTATTGGGAGAGAGAAACTGAAAAAAAAATAATAAAAAATGAAGAGAGAGAAAAAGTTGGGGGAATTTGGCTTGGTTATGCAATAAAATATTGCAAGTGGATGAGTTTTGATGACAACCCGTGATGACGTGGCACAAGAGGATTGTGGCACCTATTTCATTAATCACTGGCTGAAATTTGCTCTTATTTTTATTATCGTTGTAATTTTGTAACAACTATAATTTTTAAAATACAATTCTAAAAAAAAAAAACACCAACAACTCTATTTTATTTTTCTCTATAAAATGAGCCCAATATTGAGATATTTTGAAACAATTTTTTTTAGTGAATATTACTCTCTTTATTATCAAATTGTGTTAGAGATGAATATTCCAAAATCTAATAAAAAAAAAACCCACAAAATCTCAAAACTCATCACAACCCCAAAATAATTCAAATCTTCAACCTTAATATTCTAACATTCCAATTGATCTCAACTCTGATTTAGATACAAATTTTCAACAATTTTCGAATTATGGTTCACAAAATCTCAATTTCTCAAATCCAAGTACTTTCACTTCTTTTCCTTTTCAACCACCACAAAATCCTAATTATTCATATTCTCAAAATGTTATCCCATCTTTTGAGAATATTCAAATCTTGCAAGGTGATCCAACATTTCTTATGTCAGAAGGTGATGATAGTGTATTTTCGAGTTTCAATTGCTCATACACATCGAATGCATCAAATGACGACAATGAACCAGAAGTTGAAGAAGTTGAAGTCAATGAAAGAGGTCATGAAGAAGGCAATCAAAATGGAAAAACAAAGTTTTGGTTATTGATGCATGAAGAAGTGGTTCTTGTGATGGCTTGGCTTGAAGTTAGTCAAAATTAAAAAAAAAAACTAACACTAACCAAAAGGGGGATGTTTTTTGGAGGAAAATTGAGGAAATGTATAATAATGTTAGATTGTACAGACAAAGGTGTTTCAAAGAAGGTACTGACAGGGTAACACGAGAAGATTTGTTGAAAATGAGGGGTTCGGAGCAACATAGAAGCCGTTGGAGAAGGATCAATGCTTCATGTTCTAAATTTTGTGGTTCACATGCTCATGCTGAATCAAGAAGGGGAAGTGGTCACAATGATGAAAATGTTATGAATGCAGCATATAGTATATATGCTGCTGACAAAACAAAGACATCATTGATGTCTTAAACCTTTCGAGACAAGCATATTTGGGGCACTTTGATACAACATGATGCATGGAAACCAAGTGAAGATACTGTTAAAAAATGCAAGAAAAAAACATCTACTTAAGAAAGTTACTCAAAGAGATCACGTATCAATGAAGCTGGCAACTACTCATTTTCATCAAACTCAGAAACACCAACCAGTTGTGATATTGGGTATTCAGGCTTGCCTTCCAACAACAAATCTAGCAAAAATAACGGAAAGAGCATGACAACAATGGTTGGACACGGCCCAGAACATGAACCTTATAAGACAATCAGAAAATCAAGTGGAACTTACAAGGTTGCAACTAGAAAGGGAGAAAGAAGCAAGGAAGCAAAGAAAGATTAATATGGAGTTATTTAAACACCTTGATTCAAAGTCAAACCTATTTTCGGAAGATTAAGAACTAAGGAACAATTTATTGAAAAAGTTCCCCCACACTGATGTACTAGACTACTAGGTATATGGTTAATCATAGTTTAAATGTTTCTTAATTTCAAATAATTTGCTTTTTAGTTTTCTGTTTTATGTACTAAGGTTCGATTTTTATTTTGGCAATTTTAAATGTGTTGTTGATTTAGGATATGAATGAATGTTATATTGTAATGTTATTATTAATAAAAAAACAAGTTTATTACATATCTAGTATTAAAATCGTATTATACGCTTTATATGGACACATAATTATTATTGATATGACTAAACCCATCAATTCACTTTGATATTTCACAGTAAAAGATGTACATTGATTTACATTACATTGAAAAAGAATTGATGTACCAAACATTGAAAAACAAATATTAGATACTAGACACTAATGTACTTAACACTGAAAAGGTAATAGTGATAAACATTGTACACTGATGTACTTAACACTGAAAAGGTAATAGTAATTACATTGCTTTTACGTACATAACAATGCTAAGGTGATATTGACAATACAAATGCATCTATCTACATTATTGAACAATTATCAATTTTTTTCTGAATCAATGCATGCATGCAAGACTTCAAATTAATCATATAAGACAATAAAGATGACTTACATACCCAACACATTTGTTCTATAAAATGGATGAGATACATTTCACTTGATTAACCACCCATCTTTTCTCCTAAAAAACTTCTACCTTCCATTCTCATATCAACTTGGTTTTAATAACATGTCATCCGACAAAAGCTCCAACTCTTCTAATTCTTCATCCAATTCAGAAAATAGCCAAACACAACGATACAAAAGACGAAGGCAAGCCAATCGTCTTGTTAACCAAATGATGGATGAAGTTTTTATGTCCAATCCAATTGAAGTATATAAAATGTTAAATCAAGTTCCAAGGGCACCAAGGATCCTCGTTCCAAGGGATCGTAAGGATGGACACAATCGTTTATGAAATGACTACTTTGCTGACTATCCTGTGTTTCCCCCACAATTATTTCATCGGAGATTTCACATGAACAAACATATATTTCTTTGAATAAAGCAAACATTAGAAGAATGTCATCCCTTCTTTCAACAAACACAAGATTCTACAGGAAGATTTGGTACCTCCGGATTGCAAAAATGCATAGCTGCTATGAGGCTAAATGGCTAATAGCTTATGGCACCTCTGCTGATTTTGTGGATGACTACATTCGAATTAGTGCATCTCTTGCAAGAGATTTACTACACCATTTTGTGGAAGGAATTGTCTCTTACTTTAGTGATGAATACCTTAGAAAGCCCAATGAAGAAGATCTGGCAAGACCACTAAGAATTGGTGAACGTCGAGGATTTCCAGGCATAGAAGGTTCTATTGATTGCATGCACTGGCGGTGGAAAAATTGTCCACTTTGATTAAAAGGTATGTTTTCTGGAAGACCAGGTAAGCCCACATTAATCTTGGAAGCTGTGGCATCATATGATCTTTGGGTCTGGCATGTTTTTTTTGGGACACCAGGTAGTCGTAATGATATTAACGTTCTTGATAGATCCCCTTTGTTTAACGATGTTTTTGAAGGTCGTGAACCTTCTATTAACTATGTTGTGAATGACCATCAATACAATATGGGGTATTATCTCACTGACGACATATATCCTAAATGGGCAGCATTCATTCTTACAATATCACTACCACAAAATGAAAAAGAAGGTCTTTTTGCCAAATTACAAGAAGCTAGATGAAAGGATGTTGAGCGTGCTTTTGGAGTATTACAAGCTCGTTTTGCAATAATACGGAATCCTGCGCTAGCTTGTGACTAAGGATGGAAATATCTAACGGATGGTCCGACCACCCGGTCCATCCGCTTTATTAAACGGGTAAAAACCCGGTTTATATGGATGAGAGGCGGGTGACGGGTGAATCTGGTGATGGATCGGGTCGGATTCGGGTGCTAGTTAATCTCATCCGTCACCCATCCATCCATCTGTTTAGTATTATAAATATTCTTATTTATTAAAAATAAATATAAATATCTTATACATATATAATATTTGCATATTAGAAGTTGTATGATACGATTATATTTTATTTTTTATGTTAATATTTGTAATGCCCCATATTTTTAAAATATATTATAAATGAAATTATATATTATTTATAATATATTTGTATTTTTCCGGAATTTAACTTCAAAAGTTTTAATTTTTAATTTTGGGTCGAAAATTATTTTGGTACAATTTTTTATACATACCTTCATTCTATAATTTATGTCCAACAAACAAACCTAACCCACTTTACTTACTTAATTGACTCATTAATTTTGAGGCCTACTTTTAATACTTACCCTACACCACTCTCTCTCCTATAAATACCTCATGCATCCCCAAATTTTTCCTCACACAAAAGGTTAGTCTAATTTTCTTTCTCCTTTATTTTATTTCTTTTATTTTCCTTTTCTTTTTCTTTTCTTTTTCCTTTTATTTTTCTTTTATTTTTCTTTTTTCTTTTATTTTTTTTTCTTTCTTTTCTTTCTTTCTTTTTTTCCTCTTTTCCTACGTGAGTTTCACTACTCACCACCATTGCTGCCCTTCACCGACTTCCGCCCAGCCACCTCCAGCGCACCCCCCTGCCGCCGCCACTGACGACCCTGCCAACCCACCAGCCCAGCCATCACCGTGGCCTTCCTTTCCTCCTTTGTTTCATTATTTTTGCTTAATGTTTATTTAATTATTTTGGGTTTTTATTTTATAGTATAAAGATTATATTTTTAGTATCAAAATCAAGTTTTTGATAGTTTAAAGTTATAATTTCAGATTATAATTGTTATTATAGTTTTCAGATTATATGAATTATAAACCTAGGGTTTCAATTTATTCAAATTGGGATTTTAGGGTTCTAATGAGCAATTAATTTGGGGCTTTTATTCCTATTGTATTTCTATTGATTAATTAAGCATAAAAACATGTTTTTAATGAAGTTTTAAGGAGTTTTAATCTAAATTATAATGCTGGAAATTTGGTTAAGTATTAATTTATTGTTGTTGGTTGTTTTCTAGGAAGTGATTATTCCTTAGGAGACTTTTAATTGATTAAAAGTGTCACAAAGGACTGTTTATACGAGGTATGTACATGTCTACTTCGTTGTAAGTAGTATCATGTTTAGGTACCAAAGAAAAGAACTTAGTTTCATGATTAGAGAACACTTGGATGGAAATTGTTTGGTTATATATTTAATTAATTCATGTATTTATGTTTATGAGGCATGTTTTGGTGAATTAATTATGCTTGTATGGAATTATGGATGCAAGTATGTTGAATTATATTGGATTAATTGTGTTGCATGGAGTGTTGATACAAACATATTTTATTGGATTGGTTTGTTAACCACCTTTGGATTATTAAAGGTTTGGAATTTAATGGTTTAAGTGGAATGAATTTATTAATTATTCCACAAGGTTGTTATTTATTTTATTTATTACTCAATCATGACTTATTAGTATATTGAGTAAAGGTGGATTAAGCCGAAATGGCTAGGTGGGTTGACTATGTTCAACAATTTTGAATAATTTGGAAGTTTCACTACTACAAAAACACCCTAAGGAGTCGCCCTTTTAGAGTCGCCTCAAATTACTAAGTGATGCCTAAAGTTTTAGAGTCGTCTCTTACAAAGCATGTGACACATAAAGCTTGATTAAAAGAAACCTAAAAATAAATTGAAAAGCATAGGCATCACGTACACTATAATAGGCAATACGTAAACTATACACGTCCCATCTTTCATTATATGTGACTTATATAGTATTACTTTACGAGTCGCCTCTAGTCCTGAACTATTACACGCGACACCTTTGCAAGTTAAGAAACAAAGCTGAAGCTTAAAACAAAAACCCTAGAATCCTCATTTGTTCATTCCCTTGGTTTTTTTTTTCCTCCTCTCCTCACCTCCCTCATTCATTCCGTTAGGCTTTTTTTCCTTCCTCACATCGCCTCCCACCGGCAACGACTACCACCATACCACTACTTGTCTCCATTATCAGATATTCGCCGATCAATTTCTCATCTTCGATTTCTCATTCCTCTTTCAATCAGTTACATTAAAATTTCCCTATTACTTTATCCATTATACGTACAATACGTACTACTATTCTTCTTCCTCCAAAAAAAAGCCAACTTCAGATCGAACCCGTCGCCGTCGTCTTCATCTACCGCCGCTGCGCCCCCACATCTCCTTTCCGGTTAGTTACGCATTCTTCCCCATTCCTACTGTCCATTGCATCTTTCTCTTAGCAATTTGCCAATTTCGAATTTTGATAGTTACATTGATTTTTTTGTCCAATTTTTATTTTTTTTTAATCAGGTTTCCATTACGAATTGAGTTTAATTTGATCATTGATTGAGTAGCAAATTGATTGAATTGATTTTAATCTGGTTTCCATTGCAAAATAGCGAATTGATTTTAATCTGGCTTCCATCTAATTCCGAATTTTAGGGTTATCATTGAAGTCAATTAGTGTAATACCATTCAAAATTGATTGATTAAGCAAAAAGCCCTAATTATTTTCAATGTAAAGATCCCAACTTTGATTATTCAAACTTTTTATTGTTTGTTGTGATTTAGGTGAAAAGTTAGGTTACTTGTGTATGAGCTGCAATCGTTACTCGTTAGTGTGGTTATTGGCTTTATGTGTAGCAGCTGAGGTATATGTATCGTGGTGGATCTTGCAGCCGAGTAATGGATTTGGTGGCTAGCTGTAAGGTATATATTTTGTTTTCTTCGTGTATTTATCACTATTTATTGTGTTATGTGATTGAATTTGATTGATTGTACTGAAATTGCAATACTGAAATGGAAAAATGACAGTAAGGAGGAGATTAATAGTCCAGTGATGTTCGTTGTTTATTTATGGCTGTGTAGCATTCTCCGCCGTCTTTTTTGGTTAGAATGCCGCACTATATTGTTGATGATTATCGATGAGTGGTGCACTGAATTATATTAGCTTATTTGTTTGGTGTCATGTGTAGTATATTCTTTTTAGGTTCCTTTAACGGTCGTATTCCTTATTGTTATGTTGCAAGAATTCCTACAGGAAGCTAATGTGGAGAATGTGATTTGGCCTCTTGGTGAAAGGCTTAATGTTTGAGTATTACAAAAAGCTAATATTCATTCCTAAAGGCAGGGCAACTGCACAAAATTAACAATTGTATTGAAATTCAGTCTGGAGGGTTTGAAATTATCAAATTATCATGTTTCACAAGAGTTTGAGGCTGTTTGAGTAGCAGTGTAATAGTGTGCCAGTGTCGCATAAATTTGGTCTTTTAGACATGGAAAACTGTAGATTTCATACTAATTGATGATTTAAGGGAGTAATTTTAGAAACAGAAAGAGACAAATAGTTTACATGGTGTGGGGAGGGAACTGCAGGGTTTGTTTTAGCTGGTTCAAGAAATCTGATTCTGAAATGTCATTACTTGTAATCTTCTCATATTATTGCATATGTTAATTTTGTTAGTTGCATTAAATAGAATAGAATTAAATACACTATTTTAATGTGTGACTTTATGATTATGGATACATCTCAGATTTTTTAACGGAGTTGGCTTGTTCTTTGGTCATGGCACAAGGAGAGCATGTTACTACTCACATAGAACTTGTATGACACACCTAGGAGACCCAGGATCCTTTCTAGCTGCTAGTGGAAGTGTTGTTGCGATCAAGTTTGGAAACCTCTGTCATTGCTTTTCGAAATGGGCCGATGTGAAAGCATTTGGCGACTAAATCTGCATTGCATTTAGCAAGGTATGGTGATTCAACTCTGTCCATTATGTATCTAACTTTTCTCATTCAAGATTTAAATATAATATTCGTGGAATAGTTGATGCGCTCTTTTAGTATTAAGCACTAATGCATTAACCTCACTTATAAAAAGATGTGAAAACTGTGATTCATTAATAGTCTTCCACTCTATATTGGAGTGGAGTAAAGTGATGATGTCTGACTGTGTTGGCATGTTATATTTTGAAAGGAGTATTTATGTTGAGGTTTGGCCTGGGGGGTTGTTTTAGTTGAAGGTATAGTGCATTTAAAAGATAGACCCCTAGCAAACTTAATTACCATGTCACTAGTGGCCCTTCCAAATGTTACATGTATATGCACTATAAGACAACAAAAATCATACTTAACTTTATATCATCTTTAACTGAAAAGAAAGAACACATGAAAGATCTGTACATTCTACTTATAGGTGTTTGTCATATTTTTATGGCAGATTCCTAGAAGTTTTGCCATTGAAGTTTTTGAAAGCCTATTAGCTCAAATGATAGAGCAATGTGCTATTGCACATAGATGTAGGTTCAAGTCCTACATAGGTTTGTAATTGTAGTAACAAGTGTGAATTTAATGAGGAAAAAAAAAGAAAAATTGTATTTTGGGCATCACTATGGAAGAATTATACTTTTCAAAAAATACTTTACGCGTCGCCTCATATAAAGTAGGGGACTCATAAAATACACCTAACGCGTCGCCTAAATAAAAAAAGGCGACTCATAAACCAACCTAACGCGTCACCTGTAATGAAAAAGGCGACTCATAAACCAACCTAACGCGTCACCTGTAATGTAAAAGGCGACTCATAAACCAACGTAACGCATCAGGTCATGGGCGACACATAAAGGGGTACCTATTGTGTCGGTGCCTATAGTGTCGCCCTTGAAGCGATGTGTAAGATGGTTTAGAGGCGACTCGATAGGGGTTTTTTGTAGTAGTGTTAATGGAATCAAAGGTCAACTTGTGATGTGATCACCATTGTCCTAAATAAGATTAAAAGTGAATTGATGTACGATTGTTATGCATGGTCTTCTTGAATGAGTCGTCTATTAATTAAAATTGTAATCACGTAAAGTGAAACATGGATGAGCAATAAAACTCTGGAAAGCGTGCACTTCTAGAGTATTGACAATTATAGGTTGGGGTACACGGTGGTAGCCCGTGGCTTTTCCGAGGCTTGTTTGATCAACATGTCCTCTTTTCTTTTGGTATTTACATTTTATTTTATAATGAAAGTTAGATGGGATCCTAGACTAACTTTGTGAGAATGGAGTTGCGCCCATTCTTGCATCGCGCTAAACTTTTATTTTAAATGGTCATTTGGGGCCAAAATGATTTGGTGGATTGGACAACCTCGTCTATTGCTTACTCCAAACTAAATTAATTAAATTAAATATAAAGAGTCGAGTGTTTAGGATTGGTTAGAAAGTATGTTGAGTCAATTGAATTGTTTAAGTGTGGAGTCTTGATTAATGAATTCAAGTCGTATGTTTATTTACTTTAATTAGTTGAGAATGTCAGGTTTAGTGCGTTGTAGCTTATATGTAGGGGTGTACAAAAACTGGACCGGACCTGAAACCGGACCTGAACCGACCTGATCCGGACCGGACCTGACCCGGACCTGTTGATTCAGGTCCGGTCCCGGTCCTTAAAAATCAAGGTTCCCGATTCCGGTCCGGACCCGGTCTAAACCCGGGGTTTTCAGGTCCGGACCTGAAACCCGGAAAAATTGTATTTTTTATAAAAAAAAAAAAAAATTGGTACTTTTGTGCTTTTGTGATTAATAATTTTGGTTTGTATGTAATTATTTAATTATGCAACAGGTCTAAAAATCACAAAACAGGTCCATACGCAGGTCCATATGCAGGTCCAATAAGTTTTTTATAAAAAAAAATAAAAAAAAACGAAAAAATCACAAAACAGGTCCATTCAGGTCCAAACCTGGACCGGACCTGATTTTTCAGGTCTAGCCCGGAACCGGACCTGTTAATTCAGGTCCGGTCCCCGGTCCTCATAATTACCCAATTCAGGTCCCCGGTCCAAACAGGTCCGGTCCAGGTCCGGTTTTGGACCGGTGTACACCCCTACTTATATGTACTCAGCTTTGCTAATTGCATGCTTTTGTGTGTTTTCTTTTGGTCATGGCCTTCGCCTTTAATGACCCTGTGATGATCCAATTATTACACTTGTATTATTGGGGAGCAGTATTGCACAGGTTAGCTTGATGATGTGAAGTTCGGTGATTTGACATACGCATTGTCAAGGGATTGGTGTGATTGAGAGTATTCGTTCTTTGTGTTGAACTTATTTATGTTTTACTATTTTAATTATGTTTTGGGATTTTGAATATTGGTTTGGTTTTAAATAAGGGGCTTATATGGTTCCAATTTGTAAGCTTTGATTTATTGATTTTCTAAATTATGTTATTTTAAAGACTTAAGTTTGATTTTCCGCTGCGATACTTTGTGTAGACACCCATTTGTGTCTCTCCAAAACCAAACCCGGTGATGAGTGCCTTTCACGTCGAATCATAATCGAATGAAACGAGGTGTGGAAAGGTCTAGTGTTGCGGAAAGTTTTATTTCTTTTCTCTTCTCCCTGATTTTGAAAACTTTATTTTAGGAAAACAACCAATCCAGTTTGGTTGGTCCATGATATGGGTTCAATAGTGGTGTAGTTGGATGGGGCTTGCAAAGACCTTTCCAACGATATATTATAAGCCCAATTCCGATGAATATTGAGGAAGTTATGACCAATTTACTAAACTGGGCCCGGTTTGAGCTTTATGTACGGCCCAATGATCTAGGGGAGGGCTTAATATGATTTATCATTCCTAATGCAATTAGGAATGGTTTTAGTCTTCTATAATCTTCTAGAAGGCTCTTATCATTCCTAATTCAATTAGGACTTTTCAGAGTTTTAATCAAGATCAAATAGCCTTTTCGATGGATTTATATTATTTTATCTTCCAGTACGGGAAATTTATCAGATTTTCGAAAACGCGTTGAAAATCAGTTTAGCGTCCAACCCCAGGCCTTGGCGCCTGGAACCAGGCTTGGCGCCAGGCGCTAGCCATTGGCGCCTGGCGCTAGCCACCGGTGCCTGGCGCCAACTAGCTAGGGCGGGCGCCAATGCTGTTTTGCGATCGTCAGACTCTGTTTTGTTAAATTATCTTTTTTGGATGATTTTCTCTATAAATATCGTATCAAAAACTCCGTTTTCATTCACCAATTGACATCAATTCTCATCAATTCCCTTCATTTACAAGTTTTCAATTACCATTCATCAATTCTCACCAACTCTCATCAAGATTTTCTTGATTATTCTCTCTCTCTCTCTTTTTCTAAACTAGCCTTTTCTGAAATACAAAATTCCGCATTCATTAGATCTAAAAACACTTAGCCATATTCGAAGTCGCCTTCGCTCTAGACGTGAAAAATTTAATTTCTGAGGGTTTGGTCCCAAATCTCTCTTTCAATTATTTAATTTAATTGTTTTGATTATTATTTTCCTTGAAGTTACTAACGTGCGTATTTTGTTATTAGAAAGAGGTAAGAAGCATCCAAGTAAGTACTTTAATTGATTAATTGATATTATGATGTAGAAATCATTTTTAGATTGTTATTATGATTCCTAGTATCATGTCTAGGGTAATTTTAATATTAAATATGATTGTTATGATGCTTCCTATATTCTTCCTAATATTTATGATTGTTAGTATCATGTTAGGGCTAAATATTTGATTTTTAATGCTTAGTGACATGCTAGGATTTGTTATTAATCTTGTTAGTATCATGCCTAGGATCTTGCTATGCTTTAACATGATTATTATTATTGATTATGATTGATAATATTGTTATTAATGATGTTGATTATTTATTATGTTGCTTGATATGTGTATTATTTTATATTGTTCTTGCTTGATCACCTTTATTGCATGCTTAAAGGGAATTTGTACTTGTAATCATGCTTAGTAAGATAATTAATAATCTTGTTAGGGTTAATGTGATTATAATTCAAGTGATCGCCAATAATAGATTTATTTGTGCATTAATGTTCAACCAACATAGATTAAACAGGTTTAAGGTTAATCTTATTGATTGTATGTTAATCAGAAAACGCACATGAATACGAGCAAGAAATAAAGTAGAGGCCTATTATTAGGGTAGGTTCAATCTCTTTTAGGTTGGATTTGTACCATCATCCCCGAACCCTTATTTGGTTCATGACCTTATGGAGTTGCCGATCTCTTGGATCGTTAAGGGGTGTAACCTTCACCTCGTGAACGGTTTACAAGTTCCTTAAAAACTTGTTGGCGACTCTTTTGCTCTATCTTCTTCCCTTTTGGACGCCACCGTACTTTAGTGTATGATCACAGTGGGGTTCAAGCTAGTGGGATTTTTAAAGGCTTGAAACTATTCCTTACACTTTGATAAAGCCTTAACGTTTTAACACGTGGCGGTAGCACGTCAATGGTTCTCCACTATTTTATTTAAAGTAAGTGGTTTGTAAAGGGAGAATTATTGGGGTGTTACAATATTTGACATATCACAACTATTTTGACAATAATTATTTTAATATTAAAGGGTCAAAATAGTTTTCTCAAGTTTTTTTTTATCTAAAATTAATTTTTATTCACCCACCCCACCCAGCCCATCCGTTTCACCCGCGGATGGTGGATGGATGGATTTCGGGTGATGTATTATGCGGGTGACGGATGGATCGGGTGAAATGGATGGATGCGGGTGGAGCTCCACCCGATCCGAACCCGATCCATTTTTATCCCTAGCTACTCGTGACGCATCAATGTTAGGAAAAATAATGATAGCATGTATCATTATGCAAAATATGATCGTTGAGGACGAAAGAGATATGTATAAAACGTATTACGATCCAAATGAATATGATCAAGCTACAAATGCGTCTTCAAGTAATAGAAACACTGAAGAGCCTTTTCAATTCAAAAATAGCAACAATCGAATTGCAAGTTTGGAAATTTATATGTCTAATAGAGCTCGTGTTCATGATGAAGCTATGCATAAAGCC